TTACTCAACATTGGTGTTCAACAAACGAAGAATGTGTTGAAACTGATTCTTATCAGGGACAACAAGAGACTATAAATAAATTCACGTAAAAGTTAATGTCTAATTTGAAAATTCTTGCAGGAATATACCCTTGAGTTTGTATGTATCTGTAGTTGTTATATGAAAAAAAAAAGCATACCATCTTTAATAATTCGTACCGACGAGAAAAGGAAGGAATCAAGTTGAAAAAAAATTTTTTTTATCAACTTTTCGTCTAATTAACCACGTGATATAATTATTTCACGTGATTAAATCGAAATCTTCAAAAAGATCACTTCGACTTTATACTCCTTTCTAATTTTCTAATTGCATTAATGGCGCGCTTGCCACCGCCAATTTATAATGATATTACTCAAATAATCGGTAATACTCCAATTGTCCGGCTAAATCCTAAAAAATTTTCCGTCAACAACAATACTGCGCTACAAGAGGAAGGTGCCCGTAGTCACGGAAATGTAGAATACTTGGTTAAATTGGAGTACACAAATGGATTATCAGGAAGCATCAAAGATCGAGTTGCTAAGAAAATTCTTGCCGGTAATTCTGATGATTAAATCTTTTGATCTGATTTCTTTTCAACGATGATTTCGTTATGTACATTTTGAACAATTCGAATAATTTGAATTAGATGCCGAAAGATCAAACAAAATCAAGCCTGGCACCACATTATTGATACCGTCGAGTGGAAACCTAGGTTTACAATGTTTTAAATGGGTTAGGCGGGACGTCATCATTGTGACTGTTAATACTTACTTGCTAACACATTTCAATTCATTGTATTCACATCTTTTCCGATGTTATAATATTTTTGTAGCAATAAGTATCGCATTATTAGCACGGCAACGTGGCTACAAAACCATTGCACTTGTACCCGAACGTACAACCATAGATCGAATTCAGGTGTTGAAATCCTTAGGTGTTGAAATCATCAGGACGCCCAATGAAGCAAGGCCTGGTCATTCAGAAAGTAATTTTGACCTTGCCATCAAATTGTCAACGGAAATCGCAAATTCTGTTGTAATAGATGAGGTGCGTTTCTTATCCTTTTTTTTTTCGTCAAATTTTCTCCATTTTATTTCGTTACTTAAAAAAAGCCAAATACCGCCAACTATAGTTTACAAATCAAAGTAACATACAAGAACATTATGAAGAAACTGCTCAAGAGATATACACTCAAGTTGAGGGAAAACTTGATGTGCTTGTGGTCGGCGTTGAATCCGGAGGTAAATTATATGTTTCATATTCAACATCTAATTGACCTTATAGTTATCTTTTTATTCCGTGACACCATATTGCAAATTAATGAACAGGTTCCATTACTGGGATCGCTAAAAGCCTTAAAGTAAACATCCCAGGTTTGAAGGTATATTACGTTTTAGTTATTTACAGTATTATCACAGGATCTTGCAATGTATAAATAATCCCCTAATAAACAAGTTCATTTAAACTTTTTTATCTTGAATAAGGTAATAGCAGTTGAGCCCCAACATTCAAAGATACGTGAGGATGAAGCTGGAGGTTCATCTTTCATTCGGGTAACTGCTTTTCTAAGATTTAATTATTTAATTTTCTCTGCAATGTTTTAATATATTTTTTAAAAAAATAGAAAGATCGAAAGGTAGAGGATATCGGAAATAACTTCATACCACCAATCATTGACTTTACGCTAATCGACGAGTGGATTAAAATAAGTGATCGAGATTCGTACATCATGGCGAAAAAATTAATAAGTGAAGGATTTTTGGCAGGTATGATTACTTTATTGATTTCCAACCAAACTTTTCTAGCATTAACAATTTATCATTGCTTAATGCGTAAGTAGGCCCTTCGTCGGGGTCGGTAGTAAGCGCTGCTCTAAAATACGCAGAAACTCGAATTCCG